TACGTACGTAGAGTAGTAGTAGTAGTAGAGAGAGTACGAGAGAGTAGAGTAGAGAGAGAGAGAGAGAGAGAGAGAGAGAGAGAGAGAGAGAGAGAGAGAGAGAGAGAGAGAGAGAGAGAGAGAGAGAGAGAGAGAGAGAGAGAGAGAGCAATGTGACGTGAAGTCCTTATCGCCTCTACCAGAGGGAAAAGTGCGAAATATGAGGATTATCTTGAAACAACAAGCTTATGATTTGTTATTCTAGAAGGTTTCTTCAAAAAGGGCATCAAGGTCAAAATGATTTAAAATTGGAGCATGCTGCATACGATTTTTACTAGATCCCCTGTAAAGATCAATTTACAGGTAAAGAAGCACCGAAAATAAACTGAAATGCTTTTCATGGCTGTAAAGAGCAGTCTAACTTCGAGAGTTATATTAGCACTACAGATCATTTCATTCAGACAGTTCTAATAACGATTCTCCTCGCTCAAAATTTCAATAGCTTTAGCTTTTTTTAGCATAAAAGAATAATAAAAGCTTCAATAGGTGAGTCATCCAAGAAACACTAAGGCCGTGTTGAACTGCCCTTCCATATCGGAGCAGAAGGTAGTCTCCCATTCATTATGCAAGGCCGCCCTTCCATAAAAATGATGGAAGGGTGGCCTTCAAAAAATGCCCCCATTTTAACATTGAAAAAATGAAGCATGCAAGACCGCTCTTCTACACACATGCTTCCACGAGGCATCTTCAAACATGGTAGTAGAATGTTCTACACCCACTTCCAAAAAATTCCTATTATCAAAGACGCCTTAATGCATTACTAGCATTTAAATGGGAATAACCTATTCATTATGAGTAAGGAAAGCATTCTACAGATTAACGGACTGCGGAAAAATAACAGTTTATAGGGTCATCACCATCCCATGAAATGATAGGCGTGTGTGTGTGTGTGTGTGTGTGTGTGTGTGTGAGAGAGAGAGAGAGAGAGGAGTGTCACTCATGACCCAAATCTCTCTCCGTCACCATCCATCATATCACTGGATGGTGATGACTGATGGGCCCAATGAACTAAGTATTTCTTTTAATTAATTGGATTAGAGCGTTCCATTCCCTCCTATGTTACCCGAATTGTGGCCCCCCCCGCGCCCACGGGCCCCCCTTCTTTTTCTCAGGCTAAAAAAACAGAGAGCAAAGCACTGACTACTTTGGATAACAGTCGTGAGATAGGGATAACCTGAGATATCTGCTCAGCATGGCTGAAAATGTTTTTGAAGATCTGACGAACATAAGTAAAAAAAACTGCAAATACACAAAAAAACGATCCAACATTTTCATATAAACTGCATAAGAAAAAGGTCAATGAACTGTGCATATAAACAGAAGCAAAATTCAAGTAATCAATGAATCAAATAATCAATTAATTTCCGATAATGGTATCCACAAATTACCATCAAGTGTCTCCATGATTGTCAACTCCCTCCAATGTACGCCTCGAGCTAAAATGCCTAATGCAATGTTCCTCACCTGCCAACATAACGTAACCCAATTTTATTGGAATAGGAATCTCTACAAGTTTCTTTGAGCTGCAACATAAGGCCATTTTTTTTCATTCACTTCAATTAAGTGATCCAATTACCTCATCAAAAACTAGATTTATAAACCTCAAAGAGAGCAACAGAGTAAGTATAATTTCAGAAACTGGAACACCAATAAATGACAAAGGAAGCATAAACCAACGCCACGCCAATGCAAGTTGCTCTGGGGTTGTAGTTGTTAAGCATAGGCTTGAGCTTTGGAAGACCTATCATGAAGAAGCACATTCGTTTCAATCAATTGCCAACTTTTTTGTCAAATCCATCAATGAAAAAGAAAAAAAGCAAGTAATCAAAAGCAGAAGGAACTATTGCAAGGATGATATTATGTGATCCAACGATGCTTTGAATGAAATACTTTTGTAGGCAATTTCAAAAGCATGATTACTGAATTGAACAAAATACTGCCAGTGAAAATATAAACAAGTAACAAATTTTCTTATTGGGTTGGCGTACAAGGTATACTTGTAATTCGTTAGTACGAAATGACCCTCCAATTTCACAAATAATTACTTCCGAATTTAAGAGCAAAAACAATGTCTCATACTTGAGAAAACTCAATGTGCATTTATCTACTCCACGAAAAAGTTGCCTTTCTCAACAAAACTGATTGTTGATACTAATTAACAATTGCCTATTAAAACAAGTAACTAAACAGGTATGAGAAGAAACTGTTAACTAATACCAATTGATGATCACAATAGCAGTAAAGTAGAGAAAAGGAGAAATATCCCAAGAAAATGAAAAAATAAAATGAAAAAGAGGTTCTTTAGCAGATCAGGTTTAGTTTAACAGTTTGTACAATCATTTTTTAAAGTTCTTTTCTTTTTGGGCATTTAAAAGTGGTAACACAACTGTTGTGGGTCACATCCCACAAAGGCATAGTCCAATCCACCAATAATGTCAGTAATAAACAACCAGAAACTACTCAGAAAGGTGGGAGAATCTTAAGGGAAGAATCCATAGCTTAGGCAAGTGAAGAAACTCCATTTCTAGAGATTATAAATTTAACAATCCTCATATTAGGGCCATTTTTAGCGTTTAAAAATTTCTATGTTGGCGATACAATTCTCTTAAGGTCAAGATATGTTCGCTTGTTTCCCTAATAAAATGCTAGACAGATATTGGTTTCTACCAGTGTTTAAAAAAACGCCGAGTCGAACCGGACTCGCCCGGTTCGACTCGAAAATCGCCTTGGACGGATCGAATCGGCGAAAAAAACGTGAATCGTCCGGTTCTAGAGAGAACCGGACGATTCTGTACAGTGACTCGCCGATTCACTGTACGGAATCGGCGAGTCCCGTACGGATTTTTTTTTATTTTTTATTTTTTTTATTTTTTATTTTTATTTTTATTTTTTGTAATCCATGATAGATTTTTTTGTAATACTTGATCGATTTTTTTGTAATCCATGATTGAATTGTTTGTTTCTTTTGTAATCCATGATCGAATTTTTTGTTTTTTTTTTTGTTTTGTAACCCATGATAGAATTTTTTGTAATCCATGATCGAATTTTTTGTAATCCATGATCGAAATGTTTGTTTTTTTTTCTTGCAATCCATGATCGAATTTTTTGTTTTTTTTTTTTTGTAACCCA